AGTGGGCCTTTGAAGGCATAGACGACGTTGGTTTCCTTTAAGGCGTTCTGCTTGGTGTCTGGAGAGTTTTTCATGAGTAGATTGGCCGTTTTTTTTGGTTTAATAATAAATCGTCAATTGTATTTTCTGATTTTTGTCTGTAGGAATAACGTTCCTATCAACAATATCTTTAAGGATCCTTTCATCCGTTTTATGAGCTGTGGAAAAGAAGTTCCTGTAAAATAGTCTAATAGGGGGTACAAGTGTTGTGTTAGTTGTCTCTTCAGAGGTTGCATGGCGTTTCACCTTCCTTCTTATGATGTCTTCAAGGAAACCATTGGAGAAGCCGTTGTTGACTAGGACCTGCCTTACCCTACAGAGTTCTTCATCGACTTGCTTCCATCCTGAGCTGTGACTGAGAGCCCGGTCAAAGTAAGCATTGACAACACTCCTCTTGTACCTGTCTGGGCAGTCACTGTTGGCACTGATGCACATTCCTGTTTGTTTCCTTAATGTAGACTGCAGTGTGGAAAACTCCGCTCCTTTCCATGACTGTTACATCTAGAAAGGGCAGCTTCCCATCCTTTTCGATCTCGTAAGGGAAACGCAACACAGAATTCTCCTCAAATGCCTCCTTCAGCTCCTGCAGATGTCTGACATCAGGTACCTGTGTAAAAATGTCGTCAACATACCTGCAGTATATGGCCGGTTTCAAGTTCATGTCGACTAAGACTTTTTGCTCGATGGTACCCATGTAGAAGTTCGCAAACAGGACACCTAGGGGAGAACCCATTATTAATCTTACTTTTTCTGTCATATTTAATAATATATATATATATATATATATATATATATATATATATATATATATATATATATATATATATATATATATATATATATATATATATATATATATATATATATATATGTCGTACCTAGTAGCCAGAACGCACTTCTCGGCCTACTATGCAAGGCCCGATTTGCCTAATAAGCCAAGTTTTCATGAATTAATTGTTTTTCGACTACCTAACCTACCTAAGCTAACCTAACCTAACTTTTTCGGCTACCTAACCTAACCTAACCTTTAAAGATAGGTTAGGTTAGGTTAGGTAGGGTTGGTTAGGTTCGGTCATATATCTACGTTAATTTTAACTCCAATAAAAAAAAATTGACCTCATACATAATGAAATGGGTAGCTTTATCATTTCATAAGAAAAAAATTAGAGAAAATATATTAATTCAGGAAAACTTGGCTTATTAGGCAAATCGGGCCTTGCATTGTAGGCTGAGAAGTGCGTTCTGGCTACTAGGTACGACATATATATATTATATATATTAATATATATATATATATATATATATATATATATATATATATATATATATATATATATATATATATATATATATATATATTATATATATTAATATAATATATATATATATATATATATATATATATATATATATATATATATATATATATATATATATATATATGTCGTACCTAGTAGCCAGAACGCACTTCTCAGCCTACTATGCAAGGCCCGATTTGCCTAATAAGCCAAGTTTTCCTGAAGTAATATATTTTCTCAATTTGTTTTCTTATGAAATGATAAAGCTACCCATTTCATTATGTTTGAGGTCAATTTTTTTTTATTGGAGTTAAAATTAACTTGAATGGTCCCCAGGCCTATATGGTATATAGAATGAAATATAGGCCTACAAGTATGTTATGTGAAGGCATATAGGCCTCATTCCTATATGCCTTCAACATTCACTGGTAGGCCTATATACCTTCAGACAACATTCATTGCTAGGCCAATATGCCTTCAGACAACATTCACTGGTAGGCCTATATGCCTTCAGACAACATTCACTGGTAGACCTATATACCTTCAAACAACATTCACTAGTAGGCCTATATACCTTCAGACAACATTCACTAGTAGGCCTATATACCTTCAGACAACATTCACTGGTAGGCCTATATACCTTCAAACAACATTCACTAGTAGGCCTATATACCTTCAGACAACATTCACTAGTAGGCCTATATACCTTCAGACAACATTCACTGGTAGGCCTATATACCTTCAGACAACATTCACTAGTAGGCCTATATACCTTCAGACAACATTCACTAGTAGGCCTATATACCTTCAAACAACATTCATTAGTAGGCCTATATACCTTCAAACAACATTCATTAGTAGGCCTATATACCTTCAAACAACATTCACTAGTAGGCCTATATACCTTCAAACAACATTCACTAGTAGGCCTATATACCTTCAGACAACATTCACTAGTAGGCCTATATACCTTCAGACAACATTCACTGGTAGGCCTATATACCTTCAGACAACATTCACTAGTAGGCCTATAATTCATCAACAATATCCCGGCCCGCACCTCTCTGGGCAAGCTTCACACAGTCCCATATATGTACTTTTCCTTTCTCATATCTGTAATTCCGTTATTTGTGTTATAAGCCCACTACTTCGTAAGGTAACTGCAGCAACCTTATCTTACAAGTAACACAGCATTATTGTATACTGCTGCAGAAGGTTACTGTAGTATTGTTTGTATTACAGGACAGACAGCACTCATGAAAATTCTAGCCAGTGGGACCAGTTGGACCAGTGGGACCGTGGACCTCCTGGTGTCTGCCGGTGCCAACATTAACATCCAGGACGAAACGGGTGAAATATAAATTTTCAGTTTCAGTTATATCTATAAGAAAACGCTTAGTTACAGCCAATATTTGCCAACAGTTCACAGCGAATACAAAATATTTAAATATTATAAATGTCACATACTATGCTTAAGCAATATAATATATTTGACAACCTATGTTTATTATAGCATTATTGTGAAATATATATTTTTTCAGCGATAGAGGAAATTAAAAAAAATATAATATTAATGATAATATGTGATAATTTTTCTTATATTTTAGGGGGGACTGCAGTTATGTTTGCGGCACCTGATGGGGCATCAGCACTCCCCGAACTTTTGGCCTACTGCCCTGACCTCACACTCACAGACAATAATGGTGAGTTACGCTTTTGTTTATTCAATACTGGAAGTTACGCTTTTGTTTATTCAATACTGGAAGTTACGCTTTTGTTTATTCAATAGTGGAAGTTACGCTTTTGTTTATTCAATACTGGAAGTTACGCTTTTGTTTATTCAATACTGGAAGTTACGCTTTTGTTTATTCAATACTGGAAGTTACGCTTTTGTTTATTCAATAGTGGAAGGGTTAACCGAGGTTTGCCTCGTCACCTCCTCTTCCCACTCTCTCCCTCCTCATAACATTTATTATTACGAAGAACTGTAACTGCTGAACAACTCTATGGGAACACAACAAATAATAACTATGGTGTGGGACTATAATGGAAAATAACTATGGAAACACAACAAATATTTCAGACTTCATTTCAATCACACGTGGTATCTCTGTAAATACCAATATTTTTTTTAAGCATCTTGGAAAGCTGGGTGAGGCTAGCCAGTGTCTGGCCTCCAACCCTTGACACACAGATACACATTCTATTTTATATATATAGATTTGTTCCTGTTTTCCTAGACCTTGGGTGTTGGCGCCTCGTCAGCTGTAGACAGTGTATATATCTTTCTGACAATTTTTTTTAATTTTTAAATTTTGCCCCGAGGGGGGAGTTTATTGGTTGCCACAAAATGAGTGGCAGCGCCACTCATCTTGAGAGTGGACATACCGCCATAGCAGCATGTACAACACTCCCCAATAGGAAGAAAACCCGTTGGGTTGTTCATCCTGTCACTTGTACCCAGACACAGCTGGGACTTGCTTAACTGCCTCAAGTGAACAGCTCCTCAAACAAGAAGATTAACATCTGTCAACCCTTAAAAGCTTACGTTATCTTGCGGGTGCAAAATGGGGGAATCTTTTAAGAACAGTATCAATATTTGACAAGTAGTGTTTTCCTAACTCCAACAATGTGGGGTTATTATTCTACACATATTCCTAATGTCTCTTAGGTGTTCACATTCACGTAGATAGTGGTCAAGGCGGTGTCCGTCACTCACCACAGATTCTGCAACTTCGCTGATCAACTGTTGTTTCCATTCCGTATCTCCATGGATATTTGTATCCAAGACAGATTCTTGCTATTACTGATTCTCTCCCTCGTCCTCCTCCTCTTCGGGCATAATGATTGGGATTGCCAGCTGTAACCATGATGTACCATCGTACAGATTCACTGGTTTGTGCTTCTGCCGACAAATGATGTGAGAAGCTGCTAATTATGACACAAGTTAAACTCTGGTGTGATTGTGGTAGTGTGAGGAGATGACGTAGGAGGAGAACGATTAAAGGAGCGGCCCTTGGATGGCCCATCTTAATCTTATTTCTCGACCCAGATTTATTAAATTATCTGGATAAAAAAAAAAACATATTTTGCTTCAGTAAATAAATTAGATTTTTTTTAGATAGAGTTTCAAAAGCGTTCAAACTGTTTTCGGTCGTCGGACCATAATTAGTTGTCACTTCCACCTTAGTAGGCTGCTGTCCAGACGAAAGTCTGGTGTCCTTATAAGTTGTAAAACTGCTCGACAAAAACTCTTGAGATCTGCACCCCACAACATTTTTAATGATACGTAAAGTGACGTAGTTTCACCACAATCCTGCTGAATAAACAATAGCTGTGTGTGACTTGCGCTGAGCACGTCTGAACGTGGTTCTGAGTACATCCGAACAGTATTCTGAGCATATCCAAACAGTGTTTTGAGCACATCACTGAGCCGTTACTCATTTCAGGACAAAATTGGGATTGGAGCCATCTTCAGGTGATATGTTAATTAGGAGTGTGTCATGCGATTGACCATGTTGGTCATTAGTTCATAAACCCAGCTTTTGATGTTTATGATATAATTTCGTTATTATTAGTTCGATTTTATTGAGATTTAAAACATTTGTATTTTAAATGCATTAAGAGGGAAAGATACTGCTATCAGGTTCCAGCTCCTGTCCCCCACCCTTAGTTCTCCCTTGTCTTTTTGTTATTTTTTGCTCAATTTACAAGAAATTTTAAATAGCTACCCGCAAATCGCGTCAAAAACTAGTTCTTGGGCTACCATCTCTCGCTCCAAGTTATGGTTCACATAGTTTTGACAGTTATGACAATAAAAGATATAGATACGTTAGAACTTGTATTACCTTTAAGCATTTTGAGCAATGTACAAGCATTATGACTGCAAATAATGCTGGGTCATACACAGTGATAAACATCACTGCCCATGCTGGACCATGAGGGAGCCGGTCGGCCGAGTGGACAGCACGCTGGACTTGTGATCCTGTGGTCCTGGGTTCGATCCCAGGCGCCGGCGAGAAACAATGGGCAGAGTTTCTTTCACCCTATGCCCCTGTTACCTAGCAGTAAAATAGGTACCTGGGTGTTAGTCAGCTGTCACGGGCTGCTTCCTGGGGGTGGAGGCCTGGTCGAGGACCGGGCCGCGGGGACACTAAAAGCCCCGAAATCATCTCAAGATAACCATCTCAAGATACACAGTGACAAACATCACTGTCCATGCTGGGTCATACACAGTGACAAACATCACTGTCCATGCTGGGTCATACACAGTGACAAACAACACTGTCCATGCTGGACCATACACAGTGACAAACAACACTGTCCATGCTGGACCATACACAGTGACAAACATCACTGTCCATGCTGGACCATACACAGTGACAAACAACACTGCCCATGCTGGACCATACACAGTGACAAACAACACTGCCCATGCTGGACCATACACAGTGACAAACATCACTGTCCATGCTGGACCATACACAGTGACAAACATCACTGTCCATGCTGGACCATACACAGTGACAAACATCACTGCCCATGCTGGACCATACACAGTGACAAACAACACTGCCCATGCTGGACCATACACAGTGACAAACAACACTGTCCATGCTGGACCATACACAGTGACAAACATCACTGTCCATGCTGGACCATACACAGTGACAAACATCACTGTCCATACTGGGCACTACTCAAACAGATTTAACAGAAAGCGGAGCTGGGCACCCCTTATTCCCGGTAATTCGAGCTCTGTAACTATTGTGTTATATATACAATGACAGTGTCAGACCACAGAGGAAAATTGAAACAGGAATTTCCTTAAGTACTTTCGTATATTAATACATCTTCAGAAGGAGTGATTTTACAGGTCGAGTACTGGACATAAATAGGCAGGAGAGAATGGTGGAGTGAGGTGAGGTACAATACGTGGACACTGCAGAGGGCCTATTGGCCCATCCGATGCAGCAACCACACACAGGCCCACACATGGATAATTATAGCATAAAATAGTAAATATTTACAATGAATTAGTGAGAGAAATGTGTTCCAATGATCCTACTTAAATCGCCCTTTAATTGATCTATTAAAAATGGATCTAAGTTATATAGACCACTGCTATATAATTGTTATATAACCACTGTTATGTAATTACATAATATGTAACCACTGTTATATAGTTCAAATTACTTTCTATTGTGATCTGTATCAAAGCAGATTCAATTATGTTTCTGTTATAGGTGCTTTTACAATTCGTTATTGAAGAAGCCATCTCCCAATCAATTTGGTGAGCATTGATTGAGCATTGAGTTTGTTCATCTTCTGACAGATGAACAAACAAAGCATTAGACAATTGGCCATGTCTTACAGAGTATTTATGTTGCGAAATTCTACATTTCAAATCTTTAGATGTTTGCCCAACATAGAAGACACACAGAAGACAATATTCAACATAACAGGCCAATTACACGTGATTAATCTTTGTATGTAGATAGAAGCTGCCTCGTATGTGCCAATGGGCCTTCTGCAGTTACCTCTATTCTTATATTCTTATGTTTCACCTCACATTTATCCCTTATGTATACCCCCAGGTTTTCACCTTTATTGTCTTATCACCTGACCCAGTGCGGGTATAAAATCAACCAGCCCTGTAAAACCTCTTCACTTGAGAATGAACCATGGAGGTTCGAAACGTTGTGCAAATTGTATAAATAAGTGTAATACTTTCTATAGTAATTCACTTCTTTTCTTCACCTTAAAATTACGAATATGAGTTTTGGAGAACTCCTATTTCAGCTAAGCCCTGATGCTAAGAAAATAGTTAGAGGGATAGAAGCCCTAAACCAGAAAATAGTAAATACAGAATATGCGGTCATATTCAATGAAACATATATATATATATATATATATATATATATATATATATATATATATATATATATATATATATATATATATATATATATATATACATATTACATATGCAACTATATATAACAGCATGTCATTGATATTTTTGCCAACAGGAATGACAGCGCTAATGCATATGACCAATGCTGGCAACACTGTAAATGCTGCTCTTATTCAAGGTAAATAACCCAATTGTGTTTACATAGCCACAAGGCTTTAGAATGATAATGTTAAATGGTTGTATTGTTACATTTTTATTGTCATGTTAACATAACATTTCGGAAGAATGTCAATATACATAATACATTAAAGTCATTTTGATGCAATTGAGTGACTCGAACCGGCGTTCGAGTCACCATTGAACCATTGCCACGATGGGTCAAAGTCGACCAAACAGGAACTCTACTGATTTCACGGGAGGTTCTGGAGACCAACCAGGACTTTACATTCGACTTGCTCACACTGTGGCCTGCAGGATCCACCTTACATGTAAAGGTAGACGAACTCCTATACCACACAGAGTGTATGCGGGTAATGGGTAAAAGTTGATTTGATATCAGCTCAATGTCTCAAGATCTATGGATTTAATTAAATCCCTGGAAAGCAAGAAAGATGTCCAATGTTGAAAGAGAACGCAGACGACACTACAAAAGAAGGAAAAAATAACGGAAATGCTTAAATAGACTCGACTTTCCCTAAAAGTAGGAATAATTTAATCAGGGAGATTGAAGAAATCGAGCAGAAATTGAAGTATTCATATCAGATTGAAAAAGGGAACTTAGAACAGAAAGCAATTTTAGATATAAAGAAATAAACTAAATATTTTTTCACATATGCGAAATCTAAAGCCAAAACCACTGTCGGTATTGGACCTATTCGTACAAGTGAAGGTTCATACACTGAGGATGACAAAGAGATTAGTGAAATCCTAAAAAAGCAGTATGAGGACATGTTTAGCACTCCAATAAACAGCATGAAAGTGGAAGATCCTGACAACTTTTTTATGCGTGATACCCAAACCCCGGTAAATATAACTGATATCAACACGAGCGTGGCAGATTTTGAAAGATAAATTGACAACATGCCCATGCACTCAGCCCCGGGTCCACACTCATGGAATTTAAAATTTATAAAGAAATGCAAAGTGCCAGTAGCACAGGCACTCAGTACAGTGTGAAGGAAGAGCTTGGACACGGGGAAGATACCAGATGCACTTAAATCAGCAGACATAGCCCCTCTACACAAGGGAGGGAGCACAGCATTGACAAAGAATTATAGACCAGTTGCACTAACGTCCCACATAATAAACGTATTTGAGAGAGTGATCAGGAGTCAAGCTACCAGTTTCATGGAGACCACAACCCAGGCCAACATGGATTTAGAGCGGGAAGATCATGTCTCTCACAAATTGACACAGCTACTGGACCACTACGACAAAATCACTGACGCATTACAAGAAAAACAGAATGCAGATGTGGTATACCCATGCATCACTGATTTTCTTTATTCCCATATCAGATATAGACGAAAATACAAGTCACAGCTTCGTATCATCCTTTGCAGATGACAAACATCAGCATGAAAATTACCTCTACTGAAGACATTGAAAAACTACAAACAGATATAAATAAAGTTTTTGACTGGGTAGCAGAAAGTAACATGTTTAACCGTGATAATTTCCAGGTACTCAGGTACGGTAAAAATGAAGACCTTAAACATAATACAGGGTACAAAAAACAATCAAATATGCCCATAGTAGGAAAGCAGCATGTAAAGGATTTGGGGTCGGCCATAACTGGCCGACCCCCCTCACAGTGTTTAAGAAAGAACTTGACAAGTACCTCCAAAGGATACCTGATCAACCAGGTTGTGACTCATACGTCAGGCTGCGAGCAGCCGCGTCCAACAGCCTGATCAACCAATTCAGCAACCAGGAGGCCTCATCGACGACCAGGCCGCGGGGACGCTAAGCCCCGAAAACACCTCAAGGTAACCTCAAGGTATGGTTCAAGTTCGATTCCTCTGTATAGATTTAATATATTTTCTCAATAATAATAATAATTATAATAATAATAATTTCAACAACAATAATATTAAAAAGTTTTCGTTGGAGAAGGGAAATAAGAATTTCGAATCACATTACAAGATTTTCTCTGAAGGCCCATTATATCCTTCTCCGAGGTTATGGGTCCCAACAATTGCCCGGCTACAATTACATTGAAGCACGGCTTGAAACCTTATCAATCGGCCCGTTTTCACGATCTATTAAATATAAGAATATGGAACAGTAGTGGAATATTTGTTAAATAAAATGTATACGTAATGAAGCCACAAGTACGTAAGGCATTTTAGGCATCAAATTTTAAGTGATTTTGCTTAGCCAGAAGTGTTTGTACCCAACCCACTTAACCTCTGTTTTTCTCCTTCTCAGCCAAGTTGGACAACATGTGTTCGTTTGGTAACACCAACTACAGCCTGGGGGCCGTCAGGTGAGTGCCTGTGTATGTATATATATATATATATATATATATATATATATATATATATATATATATATATATATATATATATATATATATATATATATGTCTACAGGAAAGACTGCTACCAAAATATACTAATATATATATATATATATATATATATATATATATATATATATATATATATATATATATATATATATATATATATTGTGACGGTAAAGCGTTGGTGTTCGGCTGTTTCAAAAGCTAGGGGCAAGGCCTCGTCACATAAAGAAAAAAAAAGAGAAAAGCTGGAACTGTCGTCTGTGGTAAGGTAATGGGAAGACACACAAAACACAAGTAAATTTAACAATGAAATTTTAATTACGTTAGAAAAGTAAGACATGAATAAAATTGAGTATAAAATATAACAGACAAGTCAACAAACAAAATAATAAGAATAATCACTGGCAAATGAAAAGTTACGTTAAGACAAGTGAGTAATAGCAAAGTAAATAAGAATGATGATGCCGGAATATTGGCTTCGAGCTGCCACCTCCCTTAGTACACGAAAGCCAAGGCTTAGTCTACCAATGAGAGGTGTCACCTGCAAGGAGCACTGGAATATTCTGCCTTCTCTGGGCCGCTGCAGCCCAAACATCAACTCGTGGCGGAGGGTGTACATTTCTTTTCACTGTTGGAGGTAAATCAAAAATCAATTCTCCAAAATTCATTTTTATTTCTAGTCTGACGCGACACGAGCGCGTTTCGTAAAACTTATTACATTTTCAAAGACTTTAGTTTACAAATACACAACTGAATAGAACTTACGCATCTCCGATTTTATATCTACATTTGAGTGAGGTGGATGGGGTGAGGTGGCATTAATAGGTATTAATTTCATCAACACAAGACAGAACAAGAGGTGGTATTAATAGGGTATTAATTTCATCACCACAAGACAGAACACGAAACAATGGGTATTGAATAGAAGTGTTTGTAGAAAGCCTATTGGTCCATATTTCTTGATGCTTCTATATTGGAGCGGAGTCTTGAGGTGGGTAGAATATAGTTGTGCATTAATTGGCTGTTGATTGCTGGTGTTGACTTCTTGATGTGTAGTGCCTCGCAAACGTCAAGCCGCCTGCTATCGCTGTATCTATCGATGATTTCTGTGTTGTTTACTAGGATTTCTATTAATACCACCTCTTGTTCTGTCTTGTGTTGATGAAATTAATACCTATTAATGCCACCTCACCCCATCCACCTCACTCAAATGTAGATATAAAATCGGAGATGCGTAAGTTCTATTCAGTTGTGTATTTGTAAACTAAAGTCTTTGAAAATGTAATAAGTTTTACGAAACGCGCTCGTGTTGCGTCAGACTAGATATAAAAATGAATTTTGGAGAATTGATTTTTTATTTACCTCCAACAGTGAAAAGAAATGTACGAAAGATTGAGAAAATTCGTGTTAGAATTATTAATCTTACTTTTTCAGTCATATTTAATAATATATGTCTACAGGAAAGACTGCTACCAAAATATACTAATATATATATATATATATATATATATATATATATATATATATATATATATATATATATATATATATATATATATATGTGTGTGTGTGTATGTGTGTCTTATTGAATATTACCGCATATTCAGTATTTACTATCTTCTGGATAAGGGCTTCTATCCTTCTAACTATTTTCCTAACATCAGGGCTTAGCTGAAAGAGGAGTTCTCCAAAACTAATTTTAGTTATATCAAGGTGAAGAAAAAAGTGAATTACTGTAGACTGTATTACACTTATTTATACAATTTGCACAACGTTTCGAACCTCCATGGTTCATTCTCAAGTGAAATGAAATTATAGGACTCGTTGATTTACACCCGTACGGGGTCAGGTGATTAAGGTTAACGAAACGCGTTCAAGTGTCGCGTCAGACTAGAAATAAAAATGAATTTTGGAGAATTGATCTTTGAATTACCATCAACAGTGAAAAGAAACATAAGAAAGATAGAGAAAATTCGTGTTAGAATTATTAATCTTACTTTTTCGGTCATATTTAATAATATATATATATATATATATATATATATATATATATATATATATATATATATATATATATATATATATATATATATATATATATATATATGTCGTACCTAGTAGCCAGAACGCACTTCTCAGCCTACTATACAAGGCCCGATTTGCCTAATAAGCCAAGTTTTACTGAATTAATATACTTTCTCTAATTTTTTTCTTATGAAATGATAAAGCTACCCATTTCATTATGTATGAGGTAAGTTTTTTTTTTATTGGAGTTAAAATTAACGTAGACATATGACCGAACCTAACCAACCCTAAGAAGCACTAAGCACTTAGTGCAACCAGTGCACTTCTTAGTGCAACCAGAAGCACTAAGTGTGCCACTCTCGATGGTGTATAACAGGTCACTGGAAACGGGAGACCTTCCGGAAAGCTGGAAGACAGCTAATGTAGTCCCAATTTACAAAAAGGGTGACAGAGAAGAGGCACTGAACTACAGATCAGTTTCCCTAACTTGTATATCATGCAAGGTGATGGAGAAGATTATGAGGAAAAGGCTCGTAGAGCATCTGGAGGGAAACAGCTTTGTAACACACCACCAGCATGGGTTCAGAGATGGTAAATCGTGCCTCACAGGCCTAATAGAATTCTATGACCAAACAACACAAATTAGGCAGCAAAGAGAAGGGTGGGCCGACTGCATTTTCCTGGACTGTCAGAAATGCTTTTACACAGTACCCCATAAAAGCCTGTTAAAAAAGTTGGAGCAGCAGGCAGGAGTAAAAGGGAAGGTGCTCCAGTGGATAAGGGAGTACTTAAGCAACAGATAACAGCGAGTAACGGTGAGGGGGGGAGACATTAGAGTGGCGAGATGTCGCCAGCGGAGTCCCACAGGACTCAGTACTTGGACCCATCCTGTTTCTAATATATGTAAACGATCTTCCTCCGGAGGGTATAGACTTGTTCCTCTCAATGTTTGCTGATGATGCAAAAATTATGAGAAGAATCAAGACGGATGAAGATAGACAGAGACTACAGGATGACCTGGACAAACTGGAGGAATGGTCTAGAAAATGGCTGCTAAAGTTCAACTCAGGAAAGTGTAGGGTAATGAAATTAGGCGAAGGGAACAGGAGGCTGAACACAAGGTATCATCTGGGAGGTGAAATCCTGCAAGAGTCAAATAGAGAGAATGATCTGGGGATTGATATCACACCGAATCTGTCCCCAGAGGCCCACATCAAAAGAATATCATCAGCGGCATATGCTAGACTGGCCAACATAAGAACTGCCTTTAGAAACTTGTGTAAGGAATCGTTCAGGACCCTGTATACCACTTATATAAGACCAATCCTGGAGTATGCAGCTCCAGCCTGGAGTCCATTCCAAGTTAAACACAAGACAAAGTTAGAGAAGATTTAGCGGTATGCCACCAGGCTCGTCCCGGAACTGAGAGGAATGAGCTACGAGGAAAGGCTAAACGAGCTGAACCTCACATCCCTGGAAAACAGAAGAGTAAGGGGAAGACATGATAACCACCTACAAAATTCTCAGGGGAATTGACAGGATGGACAAAGACAAACTCTTCAGCACGGGTGGGACACGAACAAGGGGACACAGGTGGAAACTTAGTACCCAGATGAGCCACAGAAACGTTAGAAAGAATTGTTTCAGTGTCAGAGTAGTTAGTAAATGGAATGCATTAAGTAGTGATGTGGTGGAGGCTGACTCCATACACAGTTTCAAGTGTAGATATGATAGAGCCCAATAGGCTCAGGAATCTGTACACCAGTTGATTGATAGTTGAGAGGCGGGACCAAAGAGCCAAAGCTCAAACCCTGCAAGCACAATTAGGTGAGTACACACACACACACACACAGTTTCAAAGTTTTGTCATATAACGACTTGAGACTTGTCCTGGATGACTACTGCAGGAGATGGTGTGGTGGTCTAGCAGTAAGACCTGTCTTGGATGACCTGGATGCTCTGTCGGAAAATCCGACACCATTTAATAATCATACAGATAAGAGCTGTGTTATATAAACAAGTTACCCATAGAAAACGTAACTTGTAGTGGAATTACCGTCTAAAGAAAACGGGATATCATCACCACATACTATTATAATTCACCAGCTATTCTGCTGGGAATTATTCTTAAATACATTAGTCTTTCGACTTTACCATCATAAAAACATCTTATATAAATTAACTTAATTATCAATATTAAAGTAGAGTAAATGTGACCCTTCTATCACTTTCTGAAATCTGGACAAAGTAGGCCAGGCGTCAGAGTGGGGAAGGAGGGCAGCCATTGTTGTTATACGAGACCAGAGGCTCACACGGGAGCAAATTCGGCTCCTGTTAATTTTACTTGGACGTAGTGTTATGGATACCAAAGGTGTACCATCTGTCAACACGCTGTCAACAAATCAAGTTAAGTGTTCTTTCCGAAACCCATTATTTATCATTAGTGGCCATTAATGTCATTATATAGGGTGACCCGATTAGATCACATGGAAGCCTCAAACTAAAGGTAATTAAGCCAGGTCTTCATGTTCCATGTACTGTTTTCTCTGAAATACTTGTCATATATAGGATTCTGGCTTCACAGCTAGCGCACTTTTGACAGGTCAAGACGAGGATGCAAGATTTTGTGCACCAGTTACTGGGTGATATGGAAGCTACCTCAAAGAGGATAATTTGGTGTCTACACCCTAGTTATACCTGGTGGACTAACCTGCTGTACTATAAGATAAGGAACCTCTTCAATGTATGTAGTTAATTCTGTAGTTTGATTGGCTGCATATATATTAAATATAAACCCCCCCTAATGTGTAGAGGATCGATTTGTGAGATTGAGATTATTGCAGAAATACAGTCCACTTATCATTATACAAATTGCTATCGAAGTATATAAATTAACGTAAATATAAATTCATATAAATTAAATAAATATAAAT